TTCGTTTAACTTTACTTGTTTTTAAGGGACCTTTTTATTCTTATTATCAAGTATCAACACAAAACATAAACTAACAAAAATTAACCAGATCGAACCGAAACCCGAAAAACGATTAGTTTTAAAACAGTTTAACCCTTTGGTCACTAGAAGTTTGCCAATAAGACGTCGTTTAAAGTTGCTGCAACCGTTTTCTGGTCACCTTTCACTGGGCAAAGACATAAAATTGAAATGGACCCCTTCGATCTAAAAAAAACTACTTTCAAAACTTGTCGCCCTGAATTATTATTGTTTCGAAAAGTAAAACACGCGGGGGCCTTCGCGAGCAAATGTGCAGACAAGCTTAAATAATTTTTAACAACAAACAGACAGTCACTGCCAGTAATGAGTAACTGTTTAAAAAAAATCTACTTACAATAATTAATACAGCTGGAAATTCTTTTTGATATGATCGTAATTTGCGTATTGACTACATATATACTTGACATCGCAATTCGTGATTTGCAACGTAGTTTCCGACGCCAGTGAAATCGGCACTAACTGTTGTACCACCTTTCCCCCTTTGTGAAAGTGATATAAGTATTGCATTCCTGGCACCTTCATTCTTAACGAGAATTTCGTGTTTGCCTTTCAATTTGAAAGAGTTTTTCACCCTTTTTGTATTTGATATTAGCAAAAAGACGAAAGAAGTCTTGGGTATTCCGTTGCCGCCGATATTCTAGTTCAATCTAGGAAATAAAACTCGGCTTTGAAAATAAGCGATCTTGAGAATAAACTGAAAGTATAGGCTGCTCAAAGGTATTGTCAGCACAGAAAATTAGTGTTTGGCCAGAAACTGATAAAGGTTGTCAAAACGGACGAAAAGAGACATTTGAAGAACAATAATACTCATATTTCATTATCACGTGTTCATTTAACTGCCAATCAAAATCGCGCCTAAAACCGGATGCGAAGACACAAAAATAACAAGACGCTGTGGGAGCGTACACTTGGGCGTGGATGTACTACTCGTGTGTGAAGTTTTTATGTGTATTCGGGGGGTGTGAGTAGTGCAGTAGCGTTGTATATTTTGGGGGTTGGTTGAGAGGTTATATTGGACGTGGATTGGTAAGAATCAATGAAACTGGTTTCTCGTAGCATTTAATATAAAGTAACAAAAATTGATTTTTTTGGAGGGTGAAAGTGATCTTGGGTGTTGCAGTGAGGTAGCTGTGGAAGTGCTAATTTGGTTATGAAGGTTGGGGATAGTGTAGTTACAGTCTGTTGAAATGAAGTAGTGGTTGTGAAAGATCTTATCAATAGTCGAAAACATACTTGTTTTTATTTTAAACATTGTTAGGCTTTCTGTTTAAGATTGTTTTTCGGTTATTTTTGATAATATGTGTATGAAGAGAACGTGGATAAAGGAAGGTTCACTTTAATTAATATAGAGAAGGGGGTATGAAGATGTTGAGAGAGTGGGGCTGAAATTTTGTGTGTGTGTGTGTTATCGGGGCCTTTAAAAAATCGGTAAGGTCAAAGGGGAGGACGTAAAATCTGGCAATAAAACTAAGGGCCTGATTACATGAGCGGGGCTGTCTCGCTTTGCAGAGATCTGGGCATCTTAGTTAAACACAACATAGATCAACTTTGCGATTTATATGACAACCGAGTCAGCCCGGTTAGCTGGGATCCCAGCATTGTGATGCCGGGATCCCGGGTGGAAATTTTCCAAGTTATTACACATGCTGGGTGGCCTGGAGAATGAAGCAAGCAAGAAACAGGACAGTGGGTAACAAACTACTCATGCGCATTGCTTCCAATCTCTATATAAAAATAGCGGCTCCGGGCTGGCCCTTTTCATGAATACCAGGATAAAGGTCATCTTGGCAAAGCTAGCCAGCCCGGCTCATGTCATCAGGCCCTTACTGTGACTTGTTTTGTCACGCCGTTTGCAAGTGAAAGCTTTAGAATTTGCCGATTTTGGGTTAGTATGAGAGAATACCACTTAATCTGATTAACCCGAGAGTTCCATCGAGTACTGTGTTCAGTACTCGATGGAAAGGAAGTCGACTAAACGGCGTTTAAACCGGCCGTAGGATACAGGGTGGCTATGAACTAAAGGTAAGGGAGCTTTTTGAATCAATATTTCGCGTGATCATGATTTTTTTTTCTTAGCGTTGTAGATTCAAATACATGTGATAAAATTCGTAATAATGCAAGAAATATCGACCTTCGTTATCTTAAAGGCTACTAGTTCAGATAGACAAACAAGAAGACTTCATTTCTTTATGATTTTTGCGTTTATTTAGCATAAGATAATACACTAATAATTCTAGTATATTCCGACCAAATGACCTCTGAAGCCCGAACCCACACAAAGTGCGCTTGGGCTACCTGTGTTTGCACGTGCAGATGTTGGACTCTGCCCCTTTTAGGGTTCGAACGTGAAAGATTGCAACTTGTTTGCGAGATTACTTCGCTCAATAAGATTTTAAGAAATCACCTCCTTTCCAAAAATCTGCAATGAAATTACGTTTCATTCAATGTTACCCTTAATTATCCTCCTCGTGCACGATCACAGAATTTTTCGTGAATTCTTCTTTGGCTCTCGACAACTGAGGGCAATAATATTGTGAAACTCTTGGCAATACGCCACTGCTGTCAATGAATAGTCTGAACAATAAAAAGGGCAATGACCCGGGGTACCTATGGTCCGGGCTAAAAACATCTACGCCGTGTGTTGCGAGGAAAATTAAACTATTTCACTCGGTGTACCTTTTTTTTCAATACTTTGCTTTTCTGTAGCCGATTTGTTTGCTGTGCGTTAGCTGTGGGACGTATCATTGTAACGAGGATAAATGTTGTGTCGTGACTCATCGTGCGGCTGACATTCACTTCGCTTGGCTTGTTTACGTTCGCACGTATTGTGTGCCTATTGCAACTTCGAATCAAAACAAGCCATCTTGATTTCTCTATTTGGGCGACGCCCAAATAATAAGACGATTCATGCCATTTTTATCCACAAAAGACGCGCTCATAATCTGAAAAAAATTGTTACTAAATCTGACGTTCTGTTTGCCGTAAACGTGGTTCTAAATTTCTCCAATATTCAGAACCTTGAAAATCCTACTTTAGACACGAAAATAAAAAAAAAAAGAAAATGTATTTTTAATCGCTTTAGGGAAAATATACCTGGTGAATGTACTAGTCTTTTTCACGAGAGTGAATAAGTGGCTGGGATTTAGGGATTAACTCTGTGTAATTGGACCATTTTACCGATGGCACTTAATATTGCAATTCTTGCTGTTTTATTTTCACGTTTTGTGTGTCTATTGTAACTTTGAATCAAAACAAGCCGTCTCGATTGCTCTATTTAGGCGACGCCTAAACAATAAGAAGATTTATGCCATTTTTCTCCATGACATTAATTCTAGACGGTTTTTATCTGCTCATTTCGTAATCTGAAAAAATTGTTAATAAATCTGACGTTCATTTTGCCGTAAACGATGATTATGCATACCTTCTAATCACTCACTTCGATGCATAGACTACTCTATGTCGTCTAATGTTCATTAATAATAATAATTATAAAAATAATAATGACATTAATAATAAAAAGAACAAGAACAAGAAGATTCATGCCTTTTTTTATCCTTGAGGATAATTCAAAACGCTGCTCATTTCGTAATCTGAAAACAATTGTTAATAAATCTGACGTTCTGTTTGCCGTAAACGTGATTCTAAATTTCTCTAATATTCAGAACTTTGAAAATCCTACTTTAAACACGAAAAGAAAAAAAAGAAAATATATTTTTAATCGCTTTAGTGAAAATATAACAGCTGAATGTACTAGTCTTTTTCACTAGAGTGTATATAGGTCGCTGGGCTTAAGGGATTAACTCTGTTTAATTGGACCAGTTACCGATGGCAATTAAAATTGCAATTCTTGCTTTTTTTGATAGAAAAGAACTATTTCTTTACACTAGTCAATTCGTCATTCTGAATCAAGTTAAAATTGGCTTAAAATTCTTAAAAATTCGAAGGCCAAAAACTCCAAAGAAATGTACGTAACATGCGAAACGGACAAGCACGCGCATTGCCGTCACTCCGCTGGCAAACCGTGTTTTTGTTGGCAATTTTCTCTCATAGTTTACGAGAGTTTGAAACGGAATTTCAATAAACTTCGCAGTTTTACCAGACTTAATATGTTTAATTGTCTCTGAAGATATTTTGTTTCAATAAATAGAAGTAAGTAAATATTACAAGTGTGGACACTGTGTTGTCTGTAATGGTCTCGTTGGCGTTTGTTTAAAGTACAGTGCATTCCAAATGATTCAGTTTGATATTTCCATCCTAGAACTTTTGATCTAAATTAGAAATTTTATGAGGTAAACCTTATTTTTCCCCGTTAATTTAAAAGGAAATATAACCTACAGGAAACTAAATGAGCTTTCCTCCTTTTCAAATGAATTTCGGATGTCCTTCATTGTAGGCAAAATGACCGCATTCAAGAACGTGGGAACAACTGTTTCAGACTATGTATTGAGCAAAAAGTGTGGCAAATAACACACTTAAAAAAAAATTTAAAAAACTAATGTTATAGGCAGAAAGAAAACCACGAATTCCTCCTAAATTACTGAATTTTTATTTTCTTGGTCTTACTAGTTACTAGCTGTATGAGTTAAATGCGCAGTTAACAAGACGACGGCCAACCCTCGAGTATTCAGATCGCTGCTCGCTCGGGAAGTTATCATGCTCTTTAAAAACTGGGGTGGATAATTTTTTATTTTACCCAGGGAATTGCGCAGATGACGATCGCTTTAAACTGAATATTATCCGGGATAAACCAATTCAAAATAAAACTTTGAATTCACAATTCAAAGAAATTAACAAATCCGGTCCGAAAGTGCCAGTTGCTTTTTATAAAGCTAGCAAATCAGAAAAGAAAAGACATTTAACACGGAGAGGACAGAAGAAAGTATTTCCTAAACTGTTGGAAACTGAGAAACAGAGGAAAAACGATGAATTCAAGTCTACCAAGCAGTGATTTCATCCCCCCTGGATGCGAGGTCTACGCGGTTGTGGGAGGAAGACTCCATCAACCTTCGATACTAACTCAAGCTTTTCTTATTATCATCATTATCGTTAACACTCTAACATTTCCTCTCACTGCTGCCTCGAACGCGCTGGTAATGATCGCCGTCAAAAAGAAACCACGCCTGAGAGAACACAAGTCAAAAATTGCACTCGCCTTGCTAGCGTCGACAGATTTCGTGGTCGGGGTCATTGTACAGCCCGTAAATGTCGCTATGATGATAACAGTTTTAACTGATGATATTTCTGGTGAGACGTGCGCGTTGCAAGTTTTCACAAGAGCCTTGTCAAGAGTTGTTGTGTCTGCCTCTTTTTTTCACATGGTTTTGATCAGCGTGGAGCGGTACCTGGCCATGAAACATTCTTTTGCGCACTTTACCCTCGTAACTGAAACTCGTCTACTTGTTGCCTCTGTCTTGGCGTGGCTACTTTCCATAATTCTTCACATCAATTTTGCCGCGAACGAATCTGTATTTATGCCCATTAATAATACATTCTATTGTCTATGCCTTGCCTTTATAATCTTCTGCCATGTTACGGTTTACCGAGAAATCCGCCGACACGAAAAGCAAATTGCCGCTCAGCAAGTGACCGTCGAAGCAAGGGAACAATTTCAAAAAGATAAAAAGGCTTTCAAAGTGACATTTATCATCATTATAGTGCTGATATTGTGTTATCTTCCGATACCAATCTTAAGTGCTGTCTTAGACAGGTTTAGAAGTAAAATTTCTTTAGAAGTGCTGTATATATGCTTCTTTTTGACGACACTGATGGCGTTCTTGAACTCTTTTTTCAATCCTATTATTTACTCATTTAGACTAAGAGAATTTCGCGTAGCGTTCATTGAGTTAATTTGTAAAACTGCGAACACTGCCGAGGCTGAACAGAGAGAGATGAAGATATTTGGAACACCAAACGCTGTGGTCAGAATTGAGGCAGGACAAGAAAACGAAGGACAAGTTCGACAAAATGTGGAACAATAATATAAGAAAAATAATGGGTGTTGATAATAGAGGAGCCTCCGCGAGTGCGGCGCAGCCCCATTGCAAAGGAAAAGACGTAAATGGAAAGGGAAAGTTCAAAAGAGTACTCAGTTTTTTCTTTTTGTGGACAAACGAGAGCTTTTCGTTACGAAATTGTCCTTCGAGGAATTCCTCCTTGTTTCCTTCACGGCGGAGCGCTTCGCTTGTTTTGGACCAAGCGCACCAAGGCGCCAAAGTTTTTAAAGAAATTTCAGGTACATTCTGTACTCTATAATCAAGGAAAGTACTTTTTTAAAAGGAAATTTTTGTATTTATAAATGTTTTTTGTACATTTTGACTTAGGCGTGAAAGAAAAACTACAAAATGTGCCCCGATTTGAAACTGACTTCCTGTTGAATTTTAACTAGCCTTCGAACGGCAGACGTTTGTCCTCGCTCATCGCCGCTCAGGGACTTTTCGCTAGGAAAGACTCTGCGACTCAGTGACAGAAATTCCATACTGATGACGTAAATCAGTGTTTACTTAATAAATCCGGTAGTCATGGGGTTCCAAACGCAAATTTGTTCAATTTTACTTTTCTGCTGGTCAATTTTGGAAAAGTGTTGTGTTCATCTGCGAATGAGCTCCAGCAAAAGTCAAATGCTTCTTCTAGAGAACACTATATTCCACAAATATTGACTGTTTTGTTAGAGATTCATCGCGTTTACATTTGACCTTTGCCGCCTTTTGTCTTTTGTCTGTCATTCGTAAACAATAGCTAGAACAATGAGACTACTCCGTCGACCAATAAGCGCTTCTGACCGGAGTCCGGACAGATTTTGGGTTATCAGTATGGAATTTCTGTTGCTGAGTCGCAGACGTTCCTCCTGGCGAAACGTTCCTCAGCGGCGATGAGCGAGGAGAAACGTCTGCCGTTCGCAGGCTAAATTTTGACATGCTCTCGAGTGCTTTTACATGCCTGAACGGATCCACGATCAAGTTAGTGTTACGCGAATTTCAACTAAGGATTAACTTATGGCTTTCCGAAAAAAAATTTTCAAGAAATAATTTCACTATTGTTCATTTACGACATTAGCTCAAGAAACAGTTCAGACGGGCTACTCGCTTTTCTTGAAAGTGTTATTTTTGTACATGTTTCATTACATTGCTATTCATTTTCTTATTTAATTCTTGTCATTCAAGAATTTTGCTGCAGTGAGCAACTCTTTTTCCATTACTCGTGTCCTGAATATTGCTTGAATGAAGTTATGCGTTTGTTTGCACTTTCTACTTTCGCTGAAAAAAGTAAGCTTAAGCGTATTATTTGGGCGTGGCCCAAATCGAGTAATGGAAACGGCTTGTTTTGACGTAAATGTGCAATAGGCACGCAATACGTGCTAACGTAAACAAGGCAAGTAAACAAGCGAAGCAAGGCGAATGCCTGCCATGCGAACGTCATTCAACTCTACATATTCTCCTTCATTGTTTTCGTAAAGTAAACCAAAATCCATAAAACGTGTCCTCGGAATCTCACGCAAAATGTAGTTTTCTTTTAAGTCCTCAACACTCCCAGGCGGATTCATAAAAAAAACTCTTCTAGTATCTCCAATTTGAACTTGAATTTGCATCACCCCTTGTTGACACATGCAGACCTTAAAAATAGAATACGCTCCCACGAAAAACCTGAAAACGTAGCACGTGGTCAAAACATGTTCACCGTTGTTAATTTCACGACAGAGACTAACCGACAACGTTTCATTGCCCAAAACGGACAGGTTGAAATGTGAAACTACGCGCAGAATTCGTTGAAAGTGATGTTTTCGTTTTCGTCGTCGTTGATTTAGGTCCCCGTTAACTTTAATGACGGTGGCACACCGAGTTTCGCCTCCCACTTCGAAGAAGAGTTTGCCTTAACAACTTGTGTGCAACACCGAGTTTCCCGAGAGGTTGCGACATACGCATTTCTAGTAAATGATGAAGGTTTAATTCCCTTATCAACGTGACGGCTTTCTTCAGACGACATTTTGGGCCTCTTTTCTCACGACCATTAAATGACATGCCGAAGGAGGCCATCGCCACAGTACACGGAAAACCTTCGCAGGTCCGCAACTACTTGCAAGAGAGTTTAAACAACCACTACGGTGACTTCAACGAAAACATCACTTAAAATCGATATTGCTGACGTAAGAAAAATTGAAGCCTTCTCAAGACTTTTCCTAGGGCTTAGTTCTTCGTGTTTCTTAACGTTGGGTATCAGACAATCACGTCCCCCCAAAAACTAATATACGGAGTTCAGGTCCAAGCACAGGTAAAAATACATCAACCATGAAATAATCGTAAAAGAAGGTTTTTCTTCAATGGGTTTTTACTTAAGAACGTGTCCTCTATATTATATCTAATCTCATTTGTGCCATTTGAATAGAAACGGGTCTTTTCAGATCGAGTTAATCGATTAATAAACATGTCAATTATGTTCACACTTTCTTTTTTTTTTCTTTAATTGAAGGCCAGTAAGAAGAAATTATTAACATGACTTTTCTCATTGTATCGTTGCTTTTTCCCCCTGAATCGGCAAACAGCCTTGTAAGTAATTATTCTCATTGGGCAATATTATATGGAATCAAATAAATTGAAGGGATACTTGTAACCAAAACTGTGTAGCTATGGTGACTGGGGGAGTAAAAACAACTACGATTTGATTTTTGTATTTTCCCAGTATCAGCCAGCCAGCTATTTTTTTAAATTTGTTAATTGCCAGAACCGTAGACCAAAGAAAGAGATTAGATAAGTAGCTAGAAGTCGCAAGCTGTCAAGTTTCCATGGACGAGTCTTTCTTCTTTCCCTTTTCAAATTTTACAACGAAAACTTTCTTTTGTTCTCTTTCTTGATCCGTTTTTCTCTTCTTTTTCTTCCGACGAAAATAAGCAGTTGAAATTTTGAATGTACGTTCTCACTATGAAGAGCTCAAAGTAACAAGAAAATCTCTGCTAATAAAGGGGCTGTGTCACGGCAGTCCAGTCCATTTTGTTTAATTAATTTTGCCAATTACTCGCGCTCAATCGCTAAGGAACTTAACTTGTGATCAGGCCGTTATAGTGAGTTGTTTTGTCACGGAGTTTGCACATAAAAGCTTTAGAATTTGCTGCTTTCGGGTTAGTATGAGAGAATGCGACTTCATCTAATTAACCCGAGGGTCTAAAAATAACTGTCACAAACGCGGTTTGCACGTGCAGATGTTGGACTCTGCCCCTCTTAGGGTTCGAACGTGAAAGATTGCAACTTGTTTACGAGATCAATTTGCTCAATAACATTTTAAAAAATTACCTCCTTTCCGAAAATCTGCAATGAAATCACGCTTCATTCAATGTTACCCTTATTTATCCTCCTCGTGCACGATCATCGACAACTGAGGGCAATACTTGGCAATACGCCGCTGCTGGCAATGAATAGTCTGAACGATAAAAAGGGCAATGACCGGTTAAATTATTTAACATGTTGTTTCACTCGGTGTACCTTTTTTTTCAATACTTTGCTTTTCTATTGCCGATTTGTTTGCTGTGCGTTAGCTGTGGGACGTACTGTAACGAGGATAAATGTTGTGTCGTGACTCGTCGCGCGACTGACATTCGCGTCGCTTGGCTTGTTTACGTTCGCACGTATTGTGTGCCTATTGCAACTTTGAATCAAAACAAGCCATCTTGATTTCTCTATTTGGGCGACGCCCAAATAATAAGAAGATTCATGCCATTTTTATCCATGACAATAATTCTAGACGGTTTCTAGCTGCTTGTTTTGTAATCTGAAAACATTGTTACTAAATCTGACGTTCTGTTTCCCCTTAACGATGATTATGCATACCTTCTAATCACTCTTCGATGAATAGACTACTCTTTGTCGTCTAATGTTCATTAATAATAATAATAATAATAATAACAATAATAATATGATAATAATTAAGAAGAAGAGTAAGAAGAAGATTCATGCCATTTTTATCAATGAGGATAATATAAGACGCTGCTCATTTCGTAATCTGAAAACAATTGTTAATAAATCTAACGTTCTGTTTGCCGTTAACGTGATTCTAAATTTCTCCAATATTCAGAACTTTGAAAATCCTACTTTAGACACGAAAAGAAAAAAAAGGAAAAATATTTTTAATCGCTTTAGGGAAAATATAACAGGTGAATGTACTAGCCTTTTTCCCTAGAGTGTAAAAAGCTGGCTGGGCTTAAGGGATTAGCTCTGTTTAATTGGACCATTTACCCATGGCACTTCAAATTGCAATTCTTGCTGTTTTTTGATAGAAAAGAAATATTTCTTTACACTGGTCAATTCGTCATTCTGAATCAAGTTAAAATTGGTTTTAAATTCATAAAAATTCGAAGGCCAAAAACTCCAAAGAAATGTACGTAACATGCGAAAGGGACAAACACGCGCATTGCCGACCTCCCGCTGGCATACCGTGTTTTTGTTGGCAATTTTCTCTCATAGTTTACGAGAGTTTGAAAGGGAATTTCAATAAACTTCGCAGTTTTACCAGACTTAATATGTTTAATTGTTTCTGAAGATATTTTGTTTCCATAAATAGAAGTAAGTAAATATTACAAGTGTGGACACTGTGTTGTCTGTAAAGGTCTCCTTGGCGTTTGTTTAAAGTACAGTGCATTCCAAATGATTCAATTTGATATTTCCATCCAAGAACTTTTGATCTAAATTAGAAATTTTATGAGGTAAACCTTATTTTTCTCCGTTAATTTAAAAGGAAATATAACCTACAGGAAACTAAATGAGTTTTCCTCCTTTTCAAATGAATTTCGGATGTCCTTCATTGTAGGCAAAATGACCGCATTCAAGAACGTGGGAACAATTGTTTCAGACTATGTATTGAGCAGAAAGTGTGGCAAATAACACACTTAAGAAAAAAAATAAATAAATAAAGTTATAGGCAGAGAGAAAACCACGAATTCCTCCTAAATTACTGAATTTATTTTCTTGGTTTTACTGGTTACTATCTGTATGAG